CAGCTTTCATTAAGTGATGGTTGGGCTAGGCACTGATATGTGCGATAGCAAGCTGAATAAGATCCATGAAGGCCCTTTCCCCGCTGCATCCCACATTCTAACTGAAGAGAGAGACACTCAGATAGATGAGCAAGACAGAATCGATTGTAACCAACGCCAGGAAGGAAACGCATGAGACAGTTTGACGGAGGGAGAGAGGCTGGTGTAGTGGTGGTCGGCAAAGGCATCTCTGGAGGTTTGGGCTCAGACCCGAAGGGCACAAGGCAGCCAGCCATGCACAGCCTGAGTAACAGCCTCTTAGGCAGCAAGAACAATGTGCAAAAGCTCAGAAGTGACAGAGGACTTTTCGAGTTTAGGAAACAGAAAGTGTGGGGCCTGTGAGGGGAGTAGATGAGATTAAAGAGTTAGGCAGGGATTGCCTCATGCAAGTTCTGGGGAGCCGCATTGGGGCTTAGGGATTTCATTCTAAGAGCATCAGGAAGCCAGAAGGCAGCTTTAAGCCAGATGGATTGTGCATTAGTTTTTAAGTAACTGTTCTAAAAATCTTAGACAGGGAGGAGGACGCTGGGCGGCTCCAGTTACCCAAGCCCAGAGGCAGGCAGAGGTGAGTGGGGAAGAGGTCAGTGGGGGTGGTGAGTGTGTCAAGTTTGGGGTGACTATGAATAAAGCCTTCATAGAATGAGGGGTCTGTCTTATTAAGCTTTCTTGTAAGAAAACAAATTCAAAGAAGACATTTGGGAATTGGTTGATAGCATTCCACCAGAAGTATGGATCATGTCTCCTGTATTAAGATGATGGCATAGATTTCAGGGGAAAATAAGATTTAGATGACATGGTTGGTTCCTGTGCTCAAGGAGATTTCAGTCCTGCAGGAGCCATGCGTTATGCGAAATGTCACGCTTTTGAGACATCATTACTTTGCTTTTTGAGGCCAGGTACCAAATGGATAGTAAAAATATTGGCATTAAGATGCCAGAGAACTTTCTTTTGTCTGCTGGTGAGAAATGGCTTTATAAAGGGTGGGGCATTTGTTCTGGGCCTCAAAGGAAGAGCGTGGTTATTGGCTGAACTCCCAGCGATGGTCAGATTGCTGGTGGTCGCGGTGCAGCTCTGGGGAGGTACATAGTCAGGCACTGGGTATCTCTGTAAGGTGTTGTGTAACACCTCTCATAACTTCCTAAGTGAGTAGATCTTAAGCTCAGAGCTTTGGCAGACAGGATCTAGCAAAACTTTGGTATTCTCTGCATTTTTTATGGTAACTTTATGACAAAGAGTACTGTTTTTCTATATTTGTCCTAGGAATATAAACTTAACTGTTAGGTTGGGCATAGTGGCTCACACCTGTAATCCCAGCACTTTGGGAGGCTGAGGCGAGTGGATCACCTGAGGTCCTGAGGTCAGGAGTTTGAGATCAGCCTAGCCAACATAGTGAAACCCCATCTCTCCTAAAAATACAAAATTTAGCTGGGTGTGGTGGTGTGTGCCTGTAGTCCCAGCTGTAGAGGAGGCTGAGGCAGGAGAATTGCTTGAACCCGGGAAGCAGAGGTTACAGTGAGCTGAGATCACGCCACTGTACTCTAGCCTGGGCGACAGAGTAAGACTCCATTGCAAAAAAAAAGAAAAGAAAAAAGAAAAAGTTAATGGATAAAATTAAGTATAAATAATGGGTAGATTTAAATAAAAATATTAAGATATTGACAGTACAGTTGGGAGGGGAATGGCTGAAGTTTGCAAAACGCTGTTGTAAGTGCTGCACGGACTGTGATTGGTTAATGGGGGGAAGAGGAGGAGCAGCAGCATTGGTGAAGCGGAAGAAGCCAGGCAGTCATACTGAGATGAACAGCAGGTGTGATCAAGGCCTAGTCCTGTCAGGACTGTGGGCAGGGTGGGGGCAGCACAGGAGCAGGGAGAGAGGCTGAGGTGTGAGTTGGAGTGGATTGGGGAAACTTTCAAATGCCAGTCGGAGAAGCAGGAGTTCTAGTTCTTAAGAGTTCTCAGAATCATTCTAATGGTTAACCAGGTTTGGGGGCCCTACTGATGTAAAGCAATACAGTTTTTTTCTTATGCCCATAATAGTACCCATCTCTTAGATGGGTGCACAGTTTGCATTGGTTGGCCTAAAACATCCACACTAGTAACCATGAGGACACATGCACAGTAAAACTGTACTGTCTGCAGAGCTGCACAGAGAAGTTGATTCTTTTTCATGGAAATACAGCATCATAGGGGAACTCTGAGATTATATTGTTGGTGCTTGGGAAATTATACTGAAAGCTAGTAAGCTGTTGACAGTCTGTACCTTGCGCACTTTAGGGGAAGGGAAGGAGGCAGGAGGAAAGAAGAACAGAGCCACGTCAGGATTGCATAAGGGACAGCAGAGACCAGGTGATGAGCAAGAGCGTAGGCTCCTCCCAGCTCCTCATGGAGGCCACCTTGGCTGTTGCGATGTTCTACAGTTATGACAGGACACTGGCTGAAATTCAGGAACACCTCAGGAAATTGTCTTAAAAATAAATCTGTTGCCAACAGAGAATAAATGAAAAAATGAGGAAATGCAGCTGGTAGCCAGTGGGAAAGTGCTTTGGGATCCTCAGTGTGTGGACCTGTGCAGGATGGACAGAGAGAAAAGACTGAGCAAGAGTTTGACAGCAGGAATGAGCCAGGATCCTGTGTGGGAGGCATGGAGGAGGGGAGCTTAGCTGCCGGGGGTTCATCCAGCAGGAGGGAAGCTTCACACATGCCCTGCGTTCAAACATGTGCACAGTTTAACAAATAGAGAGGAGGACAGTGTTAGACACACTTGCAAGTATACCCAGGAAGTCTTCTGGAAAGAACAATATAGGAAGGTAGGAAATGAAGCTGAGATTTACTGCAGAAGCCAAATGACCTAAATCAGTCATTCCCAAACCAGGCTGCACTTTAGAATCACCAGCCACAGTGGCTTATTCAGTTCCCATTTACCATCTCAGATTGAAGATGAAGCCTCAGAAAAGCTTTCTAGGTTGGTATAGAGCCCCATGGAGTTCTAGTTCTGAAGGATTCTCAGAATCATTCTAATGGTTAACCAGGTTTGGGGGCCCTACTGATGTAAAGCAATCCAATTTTTTTCTTATGCCCATAATAGTACCCATCTCTTAGATGGGTGCACAGTTTACATTGGTTGGCCTAAAACATCCATACTAGTAACCATGAGGGCACAATTTGTATTGGTTGGCCTAAAACATCCATACTAGTAACCATGAGGACACAATTTGCATTGGTTGGCCTAAAACATCCATACTAGTAACCATGAGGACACATGTGCAGTAAAACCATACTGTCTGCAGAGCTGCAAAGAGAAGTTGATTCTTTTCCATGGAAATACAGCATCACAGGGGAACTCAGATTATATTGTTGGTGCTTGGGATATTATACCGAAAGCTAGTAAGCTGTTGACAGTCTGTACCTTGCTCACTTCAGGGGAAGGGAAGGAGGCAGGAGGAAAGAGGAACAGAGCCATGTCAGGATTGCATAAGTTACAACAGAGACCAGGTGATGAGCAAGAGCATAGGCTCCTCCCAGCTCCTCGTGGAGGCCACCTTGGCTATTGCAACTTTCTACAGTTATGACAGGACACTGGCTGAAATTCAGGGATACCTCAGGAAATTGTCTTAAAAATCTGTTGCCAACAGAGAATGGATGAGAAAATGAATGCTTTTTACTTGTATACTGTACATAAAAGTTGTCTTTGGAGAGCTGTGTTGAATACTCTGTGCTAGTTTGCTGGGGCTGCCATAATCAAGTACCCAAGATGACTTACCGGAAATTCATTCTTATAGTTCTAGACACTAACGTCCAAAATCAAGGTGTCATCAGGGTTAGTTTCTTCTGAGGGAGGGCTCTATGCCAGGCCTGTCCTTGGCTTATACATGGCCTTCTTTCTCTTCACATCATCTTCCCTCTGTCATGTCTGTCTTTGTATCCAGATTTTCCCTTACTAGGACAAGTCCTAATACTGGATTAGGGCCCACTTTAATGATGTCATCTTAACTAATTACATCTTCAGTGTCCATGTTTCCTGATAACATCACATTTTGTGGTACTAGGGCTTGGATTTCAACATAACAATTTTGCAGGGGGACATAATTCAACCTGTAATACACAATTTAGAAAATCATAGGGCGTGGGGCCGGGTGCAGTGGTTCATGCCTGTGCTCTCAACGCTTTGGGAGGGTGAAGTGGGTGGATCACTTGAGGACAGGAGTTCAAGACCAGCCTGGCCAACATGGTGAAACCCCGTCTCTACTAAAAATACAAAAATTAGCTGGGCGAGGTGGCACGCACCTATAGTCTTAGCTACTTAGGAGGCTGAAGCAGGAGAATCACTGAACCTGGGATGTGGAGGTTGCAGTGAGCCAAGATCATGCCACTGCCCTTCAGCCTAGATAACAGCAAGACTCTCTCAAAAAAAAAAAAAAAAAAAAAACCAGCATGGGACAGTCAGTGGCACATTAGAGTGGGAATCATTCATTTATGCAGGCAACCTTAAACTAGTCTGTGCTGCTATAACAGAATACCCAAGACTGGGTAATTTATGAAGAACAGACATTTATTTCCTCACAGCTCCAAAGGCTGGGAAGTCCAAGATCAAGGCACCAGCATCTGGTGTGAGCCTTTCTGCTGGGCTGTAATGATGGAATGCATTACATGGAGAAGGGAGGGAGGAACAGAGAGAGAGAACAAGAGCAAGAGTGAGCCTGCCTTGTCCTTTAGTAAGGACCCCACTCCCACATCCATCCATTCATGCAGACATTGTCCCCATGACCCCAACTCCTCCCATGAGGCCTCGCCTCCCAACACGGATTAGGGATCAAGTTTCCAACAAATAAACTTTAAGGAACACATCCAGCCCATTGCATAACAAGTACAACAGTTTGGCCTCACACACCGGCTCTGGCCTTGGGAATATCACTTCACCTGTTTGACCCTCAGATTCTATTATGTAAAATGAAAGAATATAGTAAATTTTCAAATGCTTTTTATTTAGATCCAAAATTCTAAATAATAACATTTTAAAATGAGGAAATAAATGGAGAATTCATATACTTTTATCAAGACTCAAATTCCAATTTTTAATTTCAAATTTCTAAAGCTTAATAATACTAAGTACAGGTTGAATGTTCCTTATCTGAAATGCTTGGGACCAGAAGTGTTTTAAATTTCAGATTTTTTTGGATTTTGGAATATTAATATAAACATAATGAGGTGTCTTGGGGGTAGGGCCCAAGTCTAAATTTATTTAAATTTTATACACACTTTATGCATACAGCGTGAAGGTAATTTTATACAATATATTTAATGATTTTATACATTAATCAGAGTTTTGACTGTGACCTATCACATGAGATCAGGTATGGAATTTCCCATTTGTGACAACTTGTTAGCACTCAGAATGTTTCAGATTTTGAAGCATTTCAGATTTCATATTTTCTGATAAGGAATTTTTAACCTGTGTTTTGGTCAGGGTTGGCTAACTGCTGTAACAAACAACCCCAAATTTCCAGCGGCTAATCCAGTGGGCAGCCTTCTTCCAAAGGTAAAGATTCAGGCTGCTGCTGTCTTGTAGCTCTGACCTCTTGTTTTGGGAACATGTTCCTATCAGAAAGAGACGAGAACATCTCTTTTAGGAGATGGTATGGACCTTTTAGGAGGTTGTTATGGACCAGGCCTTGAAGGGACGCTTGTGGCTTCTGCTCACATTGTATCAACCAGAACTCAGTCATATGGCCACACCTGCAAGGTAACCTGGGAAATGTAGTCTAGCTGGATGCCCAGGAAGAAGAGGTGAACACTACCTATTTTAGCCAAACTCTGCCAAAAAGAAAAGTGATGGTGCAGTTTCAGGAACTGTAGTGCATCACAAAACTGAATGAAGAGAGAAAGCCACAGTGTCAAAGTCTAAAACAAGTATTTTCACTTTTTAGGTAATGTCTAACATTTAGAGAAACCAGTGCCGTAAGAATGTCAGGAACCTCAGTGGTGTTGAGGGTATACATTTTCTCCACTTTTCAGGCTGTAGTTTCACCAACAGTTGGCTTTTCAGTTCACCGAAAGAGACTTGAGAGCTTGAAATGGCATTGGTGCCATGTTCTAAAACACAGGGTGTGCACACTGGTTTCAGTAAACAGGGTCCAAGGAGATGTAGTTGCTAGGTGTTTTTGTGTTTACTATAAACAAATCACTAGCCAAAAAATTAATTGTATTCCCTACTGTGCTCTGCACTTCTTGTAATAAGAAGAAACACATTGCAGTAATTACAGGCTGCAAAATAAATGATGGGCTTGTTACTCAAAGCATGACCCACAGACCTGCAATCTTGTCATCACCTGGCAGGTTTTTTGTTTATTTTTTTAAGAAATGCCCACTTTTGGGCAGGCACAATGGCTAACACCTATAATCCCAGCCTTTTAGGAGCTAAGGCGGGAGCATCACTTGAGGCCAGGGGTTCAAGACCAGCCTGTGCAACATAGGGAGACCCTGTTTCTACAACAAATTTTAAAATAGCCACGGTGCCATACACCTGTAGTCCTAGCTATGTGAGAGGCTAGGACAAGAGGATGGTTTGAACCTAGGAGTTCAAGGCTGCAGTGATGGTGCCAGTGCATTCCAGCCTCGGTGACACAGAATGAGACCGTCTCAGGAAAAAAAAAAAAAAAAAAAACAAGATTAAAAAAAATTAGTTAACTGAAAAGAAAGAATGAAAGACTCTCGGGCCCTACCCCAGATCAGCTGAAGTAGAATCTACATTCTAATAAGATTTTTTGATGATTTTTAATGCACAGTAAAATTTGAAAATTGCTGATGTGGAGTATTGGAGTTGTGATCAGTAGCATTGGACTCGCTGTCTCTGTGATTCATTTATTTGGGCTTTGTAGATAGGTGAATGAGGTGTGTGGGTGTTTTAAAGTCAGAAGTCAAAAAATACATACTTGCACTGTTGTCTACCTGCTTTTCATGGAGCTGGTGGAGTGGAAAGAGAAAAAGTTAGGTTAGGGAAAAGGAGTGTCGTCAGTAGTAGTCAATGCAGCTAATTCTGGTTTTCAGGCTTTGGCCTTGGAATTATTTTAGCTTTATGCTGTCTTTATACTCTTTGCGAATATTTAGCCTCAAGAAATCACATACGACACAGCACAGGCAGCCATAAACTTTCATATGTAAGAAAAATTGAATCAAAAAATTGAAGAGTAAACTTTATGTGGTAGCAAGAGGGTTCTGTTCCCAAAAAGCTAGAGAAATTATTTTGAGATTCCTATTTATATACATCACCTTGGCAATATATTTCAGACATTTTTTACATGAGATTTAATTTTGTTCTTTTACTGTACCCATGAACACACTGAGGGTCTGATCAGGAGAGAGTGAGCCTAGGCTTCTCGTTCTGATGTTCACAGAGGCTGCTGCTTTCCCTTGGCCTCCCAGGCCTGTTGAGGCTGCCTCTCAGCCTCCCAGGCCTGTTGAGGCTGCCTCTCAGCCTCCCTGCCTTGGCCTCCCTGCCTTTCAGCTTCCTTTTCCATCGCTACCCCCACCCTCCACGGAAGCCCAGTCTTAGGCTGCTGCATTCCACATGCACTTAGGGTCCTTTTGTTACTCTGCTTTATCCTGCTGTTACTGCAATGATTTGTTCAGGACACGACTTCATTGCAGGATGTAAGCTTGTTGGGGCAGGTGTTTGTTTTAATTTGTGCTGCTTTGTGTGAGGTGAGGTGGTGTAGCTGCCTGGGACTCAGCAGTATACTGCAGAGTGTATCCCATCCTCACCTTCCCAGCTGTGTGATCCCAGGAACATCTCATCGTCTCCCTGTGTCTCGATTTCCTCCTCCATTAAGAATGTCAGACGTTTCTCTGAGTGCTTCTTCCCCAGGAGCACCCACGCCCTCCTAACAGTGCTGGTGGGCGGATGCTCTCACAAGTCCCCCTCCACAGTATGTGACTGGGTGTATCATGGGTTGATACTGGAATGAAGTGAAGGCAGGCTTTAAGTAACTTGAATGATAGAAGCTTTTTTATTGTTCCATTAGTGGGGTTTACATTCAGTTGCTATTGAGTTATAAAATACCGGGGACATAATCGTGGTGATCTGAGCTTTCTGAATGAATAGCCCGTCAGCACGTAGCCAGGTATTGCCTTTGGGAGCGCCTTGTTTGCCTGTAAAAATGTGTAGGAAGGCGGTGGTGCGCTGTCATGGGGCTCCTGTGTTCTTTTTGAAAGTCTTAATATATTTTTTCCATATGTGCTTTTCTTGGATTAGATATCCAAGGGAAAGAAATGTTTGTTTAAACAAAGGTGTTAATTTTCTGTGGTTCCTTGATGTTTGATCTGTGGGATCTGTCTTCCAAATTCCTTTCCCCTCTGGCTAGCAATTATGTTTTCCCAGGGCTATCTCATTGACACACAGCGATTCGACTTCATTTCTATGCGTGGGAAGCTTCCATGTACTGAGGTGTTTACACTTTGCGTTGGAATTGTTTCTTTCATTTCCTCTCCTCTGGTTCCAGTTTTCTCTTTTTTAAATCCCTTTTTAAAATCTCTTGTATGTTGCGCCATTTAATAGTCATGCATTTCAGTTTCATATGATGCCGTATGAACTCTTGTTAGAGAAGGACTGTACATAAAGTTCTCTACAGCAGCAGCAGCAACAACAAAAAAGTCATGGACTTTGTAAGGGAGGAGACCCAAATCTGTGAATAGAGATAATTAAGACCATTCATGTCTCAGGTCTGTGCTGTTCAGCATGGTGCCGGTAGCCACATGTGCCTATTTAAAGGTAACTTAATTTTAGAAAATTAAATACAAATTAAGATTCACTTTTGTAGTTGCACTAGCCATATTCCAATGCCAGGAGCCCCTGTGGCTCTGGTGAGCGTTGGACAGCTCGGCTGTGGAATGTGTCTACCCCACAGAGGGTGCTAGGAGATGGCAGGTCACGTCAGGACCGCAGACACTTAGGGCACCCTTTTTAACCAGGTGTGGTTGCTACTGCAGATGAGTTCCATTTCACCTAAAGACAAATACTGATCAGTATTTGTCTGGGACTGCCAGAACAGTTACATTGTTTGCAGCCAGTGAGGACTGTTTCAGATAAGCATATTTTCATTTTCCCTGGGAGTTTGTTCTTTCTTAATATCTGGGTCTTCAAAACAGGCTGTGTCATTCTTACTCTAGCTTGAGCCTGGATCCAAGTGTTTGGAGAATTTGTGTTTTCAGCAGCTTTTTACTGAAGCAGTTGGCCTTCTAAATGCATTGCTGTATGTCACCAGTGGTAGGCTTGAGTTTTTTTGTCTTGTGATTTCCTTCCCACAGCTATAAAAGTGGCCTGTAATCAATAGTAAAGTCTGGTCAACAGCATGTTTCTGTATTCATTTAAGGAATAATTTGTATCTCGGAATGATTTTCCCACTTTCTTTGGTTCAATGTTCTCTTGTTTCAAGTCAACAAGTAAGAAAGCAGACACTCCCTAGCGGTGCAGTCTCATACTGAAATGACTCTGCTTTTGGAAGTGCCAGTGTGGCTCTGTAGGAACTTCTGCCTGCCTGAGCGCCTGAAGTCTGTGCCGCTGCTCTAAGCAGGTAACCACAAGCGGGTCTGTCGAGTGTTCGAATTTGTTGGCAAACAGAGAAGGCGACTGAATGAGCCACGGCAGATCTCCTAGTCCGTATACACAGATGTCTTGGACGTAGTGGCCTGCAGAAAGAAACACGGAAACCTAGCTGCCTTTGTTTTCTCACCCATTCTGTGTGCACAGAAAGTGGCTTCGTCCATTGCCATCTGTGAGCCTCAGCTTCACCAGAGTTAACATCAAACAGTATTCCATGATTGCTTTGACAGGGGCTTTTATGTTGAATTCTGAACTTACGGTGGAAAGGGATGCCTTCATTTTTTTTTAGTGATTTCTAAAATCTTTGTTAGTTAATACGTTCGGTGAATACCATGAAATTTTAGCTCATCGTGGGCACAAAGGAGATGAGCTAGCACTCATCTGTCTGATAAAATCTCAATTCTGATAGATTCTAAGTTCCATGAACTTCTAAGTTTTTTACTGGTTGTAAGGAGTTCATAAGAATGTTACGGTTTTTAATAAGTCATTGCTTCTACCTTTTTTGAGGACCCCAGGCATGCACCACCATGCCTAGCTATTATTTGTATTTTTTATAGAAACAGGGTTTCACCATGTTGGCCAGGCTGGTCTCAAACTCCTGGGCTCAAGTGACCTGCCCACCTCAGCCTCCCAAAGTGCTGGAATTATAGGTGTGAGCCACTGTGCCTGGCGCTGCTTTTTATTGGTTTTTCAGAGTCAACATTTGTCAGAAACATTGAAGTGGGATTACAGGCCCGGCATGGTGGCTCACGTCTGCAATTCCAGCACTTTAGGAGGCCGAAGCAAGAGGATCACTTGAGCCCAGAAGTCCGAGACAAGACTGGGCAATAGAGTGAGACCTCATCTCTAATTTAAAATTTTTTTTTTTTTAAGTGGGAATGAGTGTTGGAATCCAGTGCTGACCTGATTCCTTGGAGACTCAGTAATATTTATGTGCTTGACAACTGTGTCTGGCTCTTTCTGCTCTCTCTTTTAAGGAACACTCTGAAGTGGATTCTATTGCTATTCTCAGTTTGCAGGTAAGGAAACAGATTTAGAGAAGTGAGGGCTCAGTGTGTGTATGAGAGGGAAGGAGGTCTGTTTCAGAAACCTTGCTTTTTCTCTGTCCAGCTCCTTGCTGCTCTCTTCCCCACACCAGCCCAGTAATCCTACTTTTAAAAACTATCTTAAGGAAATACTATTTTTGAAAGGGGCAGGGGGATGTTTGCACAGAAAGTCCAGTGTTGTTTGTAAGACTATATAAGTAGCAGCTATTACCATGATTTAAAAATTTTTTACTGTTAAATGTATTTGCTACAATGTGCTAGAATCTCAGTAGAGTTACATTTAACTAGTTTAAAATTATAAATATCGGCCAGATGCATATTGCTGCCTTGAGGCCAAGGCAGCAAGATCACCTGAGCCCAGGAGTTCAGGGCCAGCCTGGGCAGCATAGCGAGACCCCATCTCTACAAAAATAAAAAATTAGCCAGACTTAACACCTGTAGCCCCAGCTACTTATACTGAGGTGGGAAGATCACTTGAGCCCAGAAAGTGGAGGCTGCTGGGAGCTGAGATCGCGCCACTGCCCTCTAGCCTGGGTGACAGTGTGGGACTCCGTCTCAGAAAAAAGAAAAAAAAAGATTACAGATATGAAGACAGTGGGAGAAACTTAGGACATAAGTGAAAAGCAACTCAGTACACCTTGATTATAACAGTACAGCTGTGCCAGTTAGACAGAGATGAATTTGAACTAGAAGGGAATAAAAATCAACGGACCATTTTCAGAGCTGTGTTAATGCTATTTGGGTGATTAAAAATAAAAGAACTATTGGTTGCTGCTTGTAATGGGATAGCCGTCCTTCTGCGTGCAGAGTCGGGCTGGGAGCTCACACATTGTAGTGGCGGCAGGTGGTTGCCCCCAGTCTGAGCCCCAGCCCTGCCCCTCCCTGTGCCCATGGGAGTGACTTTACTTCCCTGAGCCTTGGGTTCCGCATTGGTCGGTAAAGGGTGAATAATAGTTGTTTTTACCTGAGAATTGTTGTGAGGATTGAGTGCAGGCCCAGAGCCGGGCCCGAAGGTTTACTGCCTCCCTACACCAGAGCTTGGCCTACTTTGGGTGCTGATCTGAATGCTGGCCACAGATGCCACACTACTGCCTAACTGTGAGAACTGTTTTCATATGGAATCTGGGGATGGTAAGAACTTTCTGAAATGTCTACTTTAGGGAATGAGAACTTTGTTAGGATTTATAATAACTAGAGTTTTTTAAAACATTGTACAAACATTCAGATTTCATTCAGAATTCTGAATCATTATTATTGATAGTATCAACCCTTCATAACTTCTTATACCATGTGCACACCTGAGGGTCTCCTGTTTCCAGGAAGAATCAATCCCCCTGCTTTTCTGAGCGTACTGACAAGTCTTGAACCCCAGTGTGTAATGACAGGGAGCCCCTGCTTTCTAAAGAAAGAGCAGAGCTCTTGTTAACCTGTGGTTTACCTGTCACCTTTCTACCATGTGAATGGATCCCTAATTGAATCATATCCACTTTTTTAAAAACCGCTTCACTAGAAAATGGTTCCAGCCCGCTAACCTGGCACACACAGGAGGGGGCTGTGCACTCTGGCAGCAGGGCTACTTGTCTTTGAACTGGTCTGGTATTGAACTTACATTTTTTGTCTCTAACCTGTTTATTTTAGTACAGTCCTTTAAACAGCTGAAAAAAACCCTAGTTTATTTTTAATAGCTCGTCTACTATATTCAAACCCAAGGACCTTACCCAGAAGCGCTGTTAAAATCAGTTCTTGTATCTTTGTCAGTAGTTCCTGTCACTGGATAGGAAGCTGTGTGTAGACACACGGCAGGGCCCAGCTATTGCCGCAGAGGGTGTATTCACTTTGTGAAATGTTATCAACCTTTATTCTTTGTGATTTGTGTACTTTTCTTTATGAATCTTATATAAAAAAGATTTTTTAAAATTGACTCAACCTGTGCTAATTGGATCATCACTAATTCCAGATTACTTTAAACATGATCCTCAGGCTTTCCCACTGGAATTGAGGCAGCTTTCTAGTTGTAAAATTCGAAGGTTTTTTTGTTTTGTTTTTCTTTTTACCTTTACATCCATCATGAACATTTCCTCCCTCACTTTTCCGTTTAATAGCTCGAACATCTCCTTCCCAGCCAGCGTTTGGTGTAGCACCTGGAGCATCTAAGAGGAAAACAAAACCACATGGTGTAGAATCTGCTTCCCACTTCTTTTAGTATCACTTCTTCTGTGCTGTCATTTCCATTTCCTCTAGATGAGGTAGTCAGTGAGAAAAGTAAAGGAGAAAGTCCAGCCTTCCTTGAAATCCTTCACTTGTTACATCTGATCAAAGGCTAGTGCTTTTGGGGATAGCAGCATGTGCTGCACTGGCAGTAGCTTCTGGGTGGACCAAGGTCGGGGATCCCCATCTTTGTACTTGGATTTCATTTTTCTCAGCCCTTGTTACTCACCTGTTGTATGCAGAGTGCTCTTCGTGATTCTCTTGGGGTTCTTTGGATTGTGCTTTCTCTGTAACAGCCCTCAGAGATTATTTGAAAATAGAACTTGCAGTGGATATGAGATTATAAGAAAAATGCTAACCAATTTCTGCTGGATTCATCATACACCACTATCTAGGCTGATTAGCTTGGTTGTTCAGGCTTGAAGCTACACTCCCTATAGGAGGCAGTTCACATTTTACAAAGGGAAAATACTGAAGTCCACTTAAAGGGTGGTAACTGATTTCACTTTACCTTTCAGATAACCCATCTGAAGTATTGGACTTGCCACAGAAATATTACTAGCTTTAATATTTTCTGTCTTACAGAGCCCTTAGCACAATGCCTCGCACTAGTAGGTATCCAGTAGTATTTATCAAATAAATGAAGGACTTTTTAAAGATTTATGCTCAGGTTTCTCCAAAGTCTCTGAGGAAATGCAAAATGCAAATACTTCTTTTTAGAGGGAACAAAAGCAGCCAGACTGATTTGGGTACATCTTTTAGCTAACTTCAGACCCCTAAAATCAGAGAACTTCCTGTCTCCCTAAGTGGAAGGTCCTGCAAAATGTAGAACATTTACAAAGCCAAAGAAACATAGGTAAATAGAAAAAAGAATCTTCAGTTAAGAATAAATCTTCTGCTGATAAAGATGTATCCAAGACTGAGTTAAAAAAAAAAAAAAAAGAATAAATCTTCTGGGCTGGGTGTGGTGGCTTACGCCTGTAATCCCAGCACTTTGGGAGGCTGAGGTGGGAGGATCACGAGGTCAAGAGATTGAGACCATCGTGGCCAACATGGTGAAACCCTGTCTCTACTAAAAAGTATAAAAATTAGCTGGGCGTGGTGACACGCGCCTGTAGTTCCAGCTACTCAGGTCGCTGAGTTCGGAGAATTGTTTGAATCCAAGAGGCGGAGATTGCAGTGAGCCAAGATTGCACCGCTGCACTCCAGCCTGGCAACAGACCAAGACTCTGTCTCAAAAAATAAATAAATAAATAAATCTTCTGGCTGGGCACAGTGGCTCACGCCTGTAATCCCAGCACTTTGGGAGGCTCAGGCAGGCAGATCACCTGATGTCGGGAGTTTGAGACCACCCTGACCAACATGAAGAAACCCATCTCTACTGAAAATACAAAATTTGTTGGTCATGGTGGTGCATGCCTGTAATCCCAACTACTCAGGAAGCTGAGGTAGGAGAATCGCTTGAACCTGGGAAGCGGAGGTTGCAGTGAGCTGAGATCGCACCATTGTGCTCCAGCCTGGGCAACAAGAGCAAAACTCCATCTCAAAAAAAGTAAATAAATCATCTCCTATTGCTGCTGACCTGAAGAGGCATCCATACCGTTGGGTCATTCTTACCTTTTAGTCGGTTCAGGGTCACCCAGTAGTGTTGCGCTGGGCTGTGGATGCCTTTGGACCACTGAAGCATGTCTTTTGCACGGATATCAGTCAGTATGAACTCTACAAACTTTCTCGTAAGTACATAGTAAGCACTTCCAAAATAAATAGTTAAGTTATGAGGTGGTTTATTTTTGAATCTGTTATTTGGAGATGCGTAGGTATTTCCTTCAGGAATGAATTTGAGATGACTTTGACTTGTCTTGGATTTAATATGTGGTGGTTGGATTACTCCAGGAGTGATATTTTTATCATTCCATTTGCTTCTGATGTAGTATATGATTTCTTTGTTGGTTTTGATGGGAAAATCCTCTCCACAAAGATTAATGACATAGTTCCATTGAAATTTGGAATGCACTAGATCTTTCATACAATTAATATCTGCCTGTAGTCTTGTAAAGCCAGCATAAGCCACCTTCTCTCTCTTGGAGGAAATGAAAACATTTTCAAAACAGTTAACCAAGGTTTGCACAGCAGTCTTAAACTTCTTTGGGGCCTTTTCATCAACATGAATACAATAAACATTTTGAGGTACATAAATAGCTCTGAGAAGCTGTACAAACATGGCCAGCTCCTTATGAATAGTTATAATATATGCCAAAGAGAAATTGCCCTCTTCTGCAGACAGGGGTCTGGTTATGAAATGTAGCCCGTGAGAAATCCTGGAACAGTTTCCTGGTGTGTGTAAATGATCATGTATTTTGGATTTATGAGGGATTTTGCAAAATTTTGCAATTTGGGGGGCTGCCCCTTTCCCTTCAAATAAAGCGGAACACAGTTCATCTGGGTAAAAGCCACATTCTACTACTTCTGGATAGATAGGTTCCTCCTCTGGTTCTGCAGGAGTTGGATTCCTTAAATAAAGAAAAATGAAGATGCAGATAACTGTGCACGCCATAAGTCCAGACTTTGTGGCTCGAAGCTGGCTCATGTTTTGAGCTCCAAGTGCATTGTTATTACCATAATTTGAGTATTTTTCCTTTAAGCTTCCTAAAAGAACAACAGATACAGTTTAGGATGTCGTAACTCTCCTCCGCAGTTTTATTGAAGTATACTAAACTACATATACACACCCATGAAACCATCACCACAATCAAGATAACAAGCATTTCCCTGATTCCTCAAAGTATTCTTTTGTTCCTTTTCATCCTCTCTTTCCACCCGCATCTGTGACAATTGTGATATGCCATAATCTATATGTCACTATAGTTGAGTTTGTCATTGTGTGTTTAACTGCTTAAGAAACTGCCAAACGGTTTTCCAGAGTGGTTTTGCCAGTAATGCATGATAGTGCCATTTATTATATATCCTCATGCGTACTTGCTGTGGTCAGATGGTTTTTTTACCTTTTAATGAGTATGCAATGTCAGTTCCCTGTGGTTTTACTTTGCATTTCCCTAATGACTAATGATGTTGAGCATGTTTTCATGTTATTGCCCTTATTTAGGGAGATGAAAAATCGCAAATACGTATTTTGGACATAGACACTGACCTGTTCTGTATTATTCAGAGTTCATTGTATGCCATTACTCTGTATATAAGGCTACATCTTTCCAACAAAAGAAGTGACAAATTAAGAGGAATTTTATGATTATACACTTAAACCTTTTGAAGTGAGTTTCTGGGCCAGGCGTAGTGGCTCATGCCTGTGATCTCAGCACTTTGGGAGGCCAAGGCAGAAAACCACTGAAGCCCAGGAGTTCAAGACTAGCCTGGACAAATAGTGAGACACCATGTCTACAAAAAATCTAAGAATTAGCCAGATGTGGTGGTTCCCTGATTATCCCATTGCACACCAGCCTGGGTGACAGAGTGAGACTCTGTCTCCCCCCAAAAAAAGAGAAAAGAAAACTCCAAAGAATGACCTTTGCATGTATTAATAATTAATTAATTGAAACACTTTTGGTCACTTTTTGCTACTGCTGCACGTATTCATGCACCTTTATAGACTCAAGACAGACAACTATATGATTATCAAATAATGTTATTTATTAGATAAAGATACCTTGTTTTTAATCTATGACATATTTCCTACAAACAATTCAGAAACTCATTTCTTTTCTCTTTCTGGGAGACAGAGTCTCACTCTGTCACCCAGGCTGGAGTGCAATGGGATAATCAGGGAACCACCACATCTGGCTAATTTTTAGTTGCATCTTGTTCCTACTTCTATTTTTAAAAACCCTGTGTACGTTCAACTGGTGTTTGAACTTAGATTGGACACTGGTCCCTTGCCTTTCCACATGATTTTTACAAACGCTATTTGGATAAAGCCTCAACCAGGCAGCATTTTGAGTTATCCTTGTGTTCTTAAACTCTGAGCCACCAAAAACTATTAACATTAATTTTGGATTTTAAAGATGTTGTATTTATTTTCATTGTACAGTTTATTTCTACCCATCATGCTTCAAAAATAACAAGCAGCCACTGCCCAGGTATGTCAGGCTATAGTGTGTTCCACTGGCTCAGTAAATGTTTTTTGCCTCAAACATGAACTCTTATAACCTAATTTAAAGACATTCTTATAAATTCTGTAATATTTATTTTTATAAACATAAAACCATCATAATTTATACATTTTGTATGAGAGTACTAAAATAAATAACACCTGATAATAGAAATTGAATAGGAATGAAAAATGTTCTTGAAATGAAAGTAGGCCAGGTGCAGTGGCTCACACCTGTAATCCCAGCACTTTGGGAGGCTGAGGCAGGTGGATCACCTGAGGTCAGGAATTTGAGACCAGCCTGGCCAACATGGTGAAACCCTGTCTCTACCGAAAATACAAAAATTAGCCAGGCGTGGTGGCATGAGCTTGTAATCCCAGCTACTCAGGAGGCTGTGGCAGGAGAATTGCTGGAACCCAGGAGGCAGAGGCTGCAGTGAGCCGAGATCGTGCCACTGCACTGCAGTGAGCCGAGATCCTGCTGTTGCAGTGACACGGTCTCAGCTCACTGCAACCTCCACCTCTTGGATTCAAGGGATTCTTCTGCGTCAGCCTCCCGAGTAGCTGAGATTACAGGCACCTGCCACCACACCCAGCTAAATTTTGTATTTTTAGTTGAGATAGGGTTTCACCATGTTGGCCAGGCTGGTCTCGATCTCCTGACCTCGAGTGATCCATCCTCCGCGGCCTCCCAAAGTTCTGGGATTACAGGCATGAGCCACTGTGCCTGGCCTATTTTGTTGTTATTGTTATGAGAGTTTCTCTCTTGTTGCCCAGGCTGGAGTGCAATGGCACATTGCACAAATCTCAGTTTACTGCAACCTCTGCCTCCTGGGTTCCAGTGATTCTCCTGCCTCAGCCTCCCAAAGAGCTGAGATTACAGGCATGCATCACCACACCCAGGCTAATTTTGTATTTTTAGTAGAGACGGGGTTTTTCCATGTTCGTCAGGCTGGTCTCGAACCCCTGACCTCAGGTGATCCACCTGCCTTGGCCTCCCAAAGTGCTGGAATTACAGGCCTGAGCCACCATGCCTGGCTATTTTGTTTTTAAGCTGACCGTGAAATCATTCCTCCTGTTCCTCCTGTCACAGAATGATACCCCATGTAAACTTAGCCTTGTGCAGAGCCCAGGAGATTGGGTATTTTCAGTAGTTTATAATAATTAAATGAAGACAAGCCACAAGGGTAGCCCCTTGTCCTTCGGGAAAATACCCAGGCTAAGTGTTTTTCTCTCCCTAATATAGACACAGGGACATGGCCAGTTCAGTCTTAACCTGCTGCTGCCTTCTACCTCAGTTCCATCAGCACAGCTTTCACTGCGGCCCAGTTAAATCTTCCCTCTGGCTCGGGTTCACTGTGAAACCTCAGAATGGATGCCTGCTGGACTGCCCTGTTTAGTGGAAACCAGGATCCCCAGCAGTTTAGTTTGTCATTGTTTCAATATAAGCTTTTTTTTGAGACAGGACCTCACTCTGTCACTCAAGCTGGAGTGCAGTGGTATGATCATGGCTCATCACAGCCTCAACCTCCTGGGATTTGGCAGTACTCCCATCTCAGCCTCCCCCATAGCTGGGATTAGAGGTGCCTGGCTAACGTTTTGTAGATGGGGTTTTGCCACATGAACTTTAAAAAGAAAAACTTGTTAATGGCTGGGCCCAGTGGCTCTCGCCTGTAATCCCAGCACTTTGGGAGGCCAAGGTGGGTGGATCACAAGGTCAGGAGTTTGAGACCAGTCTGGCCAACATAGTGAAACCCAGTCTCTACTAAAAATACAAAAATTAGCTAGGTGTGGTGGCGCGTGCCTGAAATCCCAGCTACTCGGGAGGCTGAGGCAGGAAAATTGCCTGAACCCAGGAGGCAGAGGTTGCAGTGAGCGGAGATCGCGCCACTGCACTCCCACCTGGCAACAGTGTGAAACTTCGTCTCAAAAAAAACTTAAAAATTGACATGTAATAATTGTAAATGTTTATGGAGCATAAAGTGATGTTTTAGTGCACACAGTGTATCAACATAAGCTTTTTTTTTTTGAGACGGAGTTTCACTCTTGTTACCCAGGCTGGAGTGTGCAATGGCGCGATCTCGGCTCACCGCAACCTCCACCTCCTGGGTTCAGGCAATTCTCCTGCCTCAGCCTCCCGAGTAGCTGGGATTACAGGCACATGCCACCATGCCCAGCTAATTTTTTGTATTTTTAGTAGAGACAGGGTTTCACCATGTTGACCAGGATGGTCTCCATCTCTTGACCTCGTGATCCACCCGCCTCTGCCTCCCAAAGTGCTGGGATTATAGGCGTGAGCCACCGCGCCCCTGCTCAACGTAAGCTTTTTAAGGCAGCCAGACCCTCTATTGTAAATGTAGCCTTTGGATATCTCGTTGCTGTTGATATCACTTGAACATAACAGCTAATGGGTAATATGAAAATTCTTAGAGGAAGAAAGTTTTCATGGCCTGGCATTTTTTTCCTTTTAAAGTAATGGTGAACAGTATTTTCAGTTTTGCAGACATTTCCTAGCAATTCTTAGTGAGTTTTCGTTGTGGCTGTTTTATTTCTATATTGCGAAGTCAACTTTTTAATGAAAAAATAATGGAAGTTTAGTTACTAAACATGTGACTATCACTAATTTCCAGTAAATGTAGGTGCTATTTTCTAAGTGTGGGGAATATGCCTCTCATAAAAAAAGTTGTCATACTGAGTTTTTGAACCCTTTTTTTTCTCCATAGAAAGATGTTTAAGATACTTACGGTAAAGGCTCTAGAAAGAGTGGCTGTTACCCTGTGTGTTATGGAGCAGGTACTACTGCAAGTTCTTTGTCTGGAACAGACCTATTTTTACCAGTCCAGTGTCCTGTTTCCTTGTGTATTGCTAGATCACAAACAGTTCCTAAAATTTGGGGGTTAGCCTGGACAATATAGTGAGACCTCATTTCTACCAAAAAAATAAAAATAAAACAATTAGCCAAGTAATAGGGGTCCCAAAATTAGCTACATCTGTGGTCCCAGCTCCTGGGAGGATCATTTGAGCCAGGAGGTTGCTCCAGCCTGGGCAACAGAGTGATATCCTGTCTCAAAGATAAAATAAATTTGGGGGTTTGTGTGTGAGAGCATCTCAAGGCTTTTTTCGTGCGCTGTCTCTCTTTAAATTGTCTTTCCTAGACCTTGTGTATTTTAATAACCTTTTAGCCCTCCATATCTGCAGCCTTTGAAAAGGAGCATTGTTAAATATGTATATAGTGTGCAGTGGAACAAAACAGCTTCCAAGCAGTGAATAATGTTAAAATCATACATTCGGTTGACTGAAGCCATCTAGCATCCAAGAGATAATATCTTTCAGTGGAAATAATGATCAAACTTATGGTCAGGATGATGGTTAACTTTTCAGTGCCAGAATCTGCACAAGAACAGGAATGATTTCCAGTTAATAATTCTCAGAGTGGAATTATTTTACATTTTATGTTTTTGTAGAAGGTTAAAGTACTTCCGGGGGTGGTTTCAAAGCACACTGCTCTCCTAATGAGAGCTGGTGCCTGTGTTCTTTGTCTCTTCTAATTTACAGTCTTCTTCTCCCCACTCCCACCAAGCCTTCACAGCCAATAGCAAAAGTCAGCAACATGGGTTTGATATCACATTACCTCCAGAACTGTTCGTCGAAGGATAGTCCTTGTGAATGTGTTAGGATGGTATTTAATTGGTGATAAAGACTTTCTAGGGAGAGTTGGCAGCATCCCATATATATTCTTTTTGCTGAATTTTTTATATTTGTATATTTTACAGGTAATTCCTATGAGTAAATAGATAATGGATGGGTGCCTTTAAAAGTGAACTCAAATGATTTTGCCATATATTGTAGAGTATTACTGTTTTAGAGTATTAACATTAGTTTAACCAGCATAAACAGCTGATTTAGCACCCAAATAAAGTTTCTGAGCGCTTCACTCCTTGCAGGGGTTGTGGGGGGCTCATTATTGCATTGACCTTATTAGGAACCTCATATTTAGCTTCAGGGAGTGGGCTTTGAATCAGGGCCCTCATGTTAAGCTCACAGTCCTAGCACTTAAGGATTCTGTGGGGCAAGTAATGGAAGCTCCCTGAGTGTCCATTTTCTTGACTGCGGACATGGTGTATGGTAGTGTCTGCCTCAAGGACACTGGGAGGAGGTGAGGAGTGAAGGATGTGAGTTTCACGCCGAGCCTGGCCCATGGAGGTGCTCCGTGCTCACAGGTACTCAGTCCTCGGAGTGACGCAGCCTGAAACCGTTAACTGCAGGTGCTTCTCTACTCGTCCTCTAGTCCCTGTAGCCACACAATGAAAATGTGGTGTCCTTTTCCCTCTGAGCTTAGAATGCTGTCCAGAGCAGCCTCAGTGTTAGCACAGTGTTTTCTTGAGTTATTTGCATTATGAGTCGGACTGATTTTGAATTCAAAGCTATCTGTCTGGTAACATGGATGTTTTTCACAAAATGCTTATTTCTAAAACATATAAATTATTTTAGCTGTTTTGATGGAAATAAGAAAACTTTATTTTAGGATATTTTCTCAAAACAACCAGAAGAAATAAAATTTTATTTCACAAAATGAGAGCTGAGGATTTGGACGTGGCCTTGAATTTGCCTTATGTGAGGAGTTAACAAATGGTGGCATTTTATATTTAAAAATTCGAGTTGATGCCATACTGGGAAAATATTCTACTTTTATTTTCTTTGGCTTAAACAAAAAGTAGGGACTATTTTTAAGAGAAAAAGATACCTGCAACACCTACATTTCAAATATTACTCATATTCTAGTATTTTAAAACCATAGAGAAAGCAAAGAAAAACATAATCTACTTCAAAAAGTATACCTGTGGCCAGGCATGGTGGCTCATGCCTATAATCCTAACACTTTGAGAGACCGAGGTGGATACTTGAAGTCAGGAGTTTGAGACCAGCTGGTGAAACACCGTCTCTACCAAAAATCCAAAAATTTGCTGGGCGTGGCGATAATGTGCCTATAATCCCAGCTACTCCAGAGGCTGAGGCAGGAGAATCCCTTGAACCCAGGAGGTGGAGGTTGCAGTGAGCTGAGATTGCCTCACTGCACTCCAGCCTGGGCTACAGAGTGAGACCCTGCTCTCCCCCCCACCCCACCTCCGGCCCCCCCCAACACAAGTGTACCTGCTTAACCTTTGCCATCGGTGAGTCCTGCATAGTTACTGAAGCGCTTACCAGGAGAAGCCCCTTGGTTCCTGGAGTGGGGGTCCTGGTGGGTTAGGGCCCAGCCTGACCTTTCTCTCCCATCGGTTCCTCCCGGCAGCAGCGCCTCCTTCAATCACTTGAGCAGAGTTGCTTGGCAGGTTTTGTTGCCATATATCCCTGGAGAGTTTTATTCCTGTTGGTTCTGACGTGCAGACTGAAAACTCATTGTTGCTTTTGCTTCTCTGAGTATTTCCTTGGGACCAGATCCCTCCTGAAAACCCAAATGAGACAACAGAAGATGGCTGGCCTGGATGAAGGGTACACAGTCAGAAAACTGCATTCATGGGTCAGATTCTTGAAATGATATTAAAAACAGGAGGCATGATTTAGTTATCAGATCCTCTTTCATTAAGGGGTTAAATAAAAATCACTTAAAAATCCTGTTTCTCCATAAATAGCATTCAGAAAAATCCAGACGTTTCACAAGGCAGGGCTGAGCCTGCTGTATGCTTGGTAGCGCCCCCACTGTAAGTCTGCGCCATAGCACGTGGTGAAGGTGGACTGGACAGCAGATCTGTTCATTTCACTTCTTGTCTTGCATTCTACCTCTGGAAGGAGGAAGCCGTTCTAAGCCAAACAGCAGTAGAAGAAGCAACAGAGGAAATGCTGGGGAGTGTTGCCCACATAAAACGTTACACTTCCATAGCGCTGAGGGAAATGTCAACACAAGAACCAAACATACTGGAGGAGCTGTTGCACCCATTTTTATTGACAATAAATGGACAGAGGGTAAAGAGGCTTTATGTATAAACCTCGTATACAGATTGACTAAAGTAAAACATTTAAAAAATGAAATCCCTAATAAAAGGACATACGGTATAATTTACGAAACAGGTATTGTGAATGCAGTGGGGTTTTTTAATGTTTCTTAATCCAAGCCAAAAAGGAGCTGTCTCTCTTGCCATTCAGATTAGCATAAGTTTCTTTTTCTTCAAAACATACGGTGTGATGGGCACCCTCATGTATAGGGATGTATATGTCATGTGAGCTTTTGGGAGACTACATGGCTTTAAAATCTCATCTTTTTCCTATTTTGAAATCTTTCCTTAGGCTCTGTTCTTATTCATTCAGCAGTTATTCACTGCATCTCTTGTGGGCAGAACCCTAGGCTCCCACCATGGAACATGAAGACAAAATGCCTCCTGCTTGGGGCTGACAGTGTTGCGGAGGGAACACGCTGTTTTAAAAGTCAGTACAATCATGCAGACATATACTCATTTACTCTGAGCCATGGGAACAAAAACAGGATTCCGTGATAGAGAAAGGAACACATGTCGGAAATGGAATTCCTGGGTCAGAGATGCATGCAGTCAGCTGTTCACTGCTCATATTACTGGTAAGGACAAGGATTGGAAAGCCACTGTTCCATTTGTTAGAGTGATATAAATATCTGGATACATTAGCATATTGCTCCTAATTTGACCACTGGTCCCTCTTGGCACTTTCCCTACTGGCCTTTTTAAAAATACTTTTAAAAAGCATCCAGAGGACTTATGAATATAAATATACAATTACTAGTTTGCTTTTTCCTTTAACTTATGATAAGCATTTTCTGCATTGCCCCAAACTCTAAAATAACCATATAATCTCCCTTTCTGGGAATGTATTATGATTTTTTTAACCATTTTCCCCATTTTTTAGACATTGGAGTTACAAGTGATAAAGGGAATGAAGATAAAATTTAAAGTGGATATATAATTTCTACTGTACAATAACAGTACTCAAGATAAACCCACTAGCACGAAGATATGGTGTTTTTTCTGTTTGTATAATACATATTATATACCAAGGAGGTGGGGAGCAGGTCCCCATGGGCCAGCTGTACCTTTGTGGCAGCCCCACTCCCCATCTCCTCAGTAGCCCCTGTGCTTGTTTTCCATCATCCTTCAGGGATGAACCACTGCACTCTGATTTCTAGGGTCAAACATGCACCCAGAATGAGTGACGGGGCCCCTTCCTAGTGGTTGAGAGGACTCTGTGCCTAGTCTACAGGGGCATTCCTACTAAGGTCCAAGCCATTGACACTCTTGAAGGTGTGGGTTTGGTGCTAATGGATCTTCTCAATTTTTAAGAGAAGGAGCAAGATTGCTCAATTTCTAATGTGAGGGATTCCTGACTTCTTATTGTCAGTGCCAGTTCAACTTTAAAAGTACAGTAAGTCTGGGCACAACACAACACAGCTATATGCAGAATAAGGTCCGTGGCCTCTGGTCAGATCTAGAGGAAGGAGACCGCTGACCCTGACACTGTCGTGAGGAGGAGCAGCAAGGAGTGACAGAAAGAAGCAACAGCAGAAACCTGGGAGGAGAGAAAGAGAAAGGAGGGAGCAGCACCAACAGGGAGCAGACGCTGGTTCCTCCCCACCCCTGGCCATGGACGCCAGAGTCGCAGCTCCCCCTGGGCCTTAACTGCCACCTGGTTCTGTTCCTGCAGATTCTTTCTCATTCCTTCTCCAAGGAAGAGACCGTCTTCCAGAGCCAAGGGAAAGCTCCACTCAGACCTCCGATAGCGTGAGACGTCCCAGGACCTCCTGTAGCAGAGCAGGCTGCTCTTCCTCCTGTAGCCCAACTCTCTGCAGCGACGGCTAAAAACAAGCTCCTTTCTTCAAGGGTTGTCCCAATGAAATGCTAGATTGGGCACCTGCTTCAGTCATTGATAGAACTTCTCTATGGCACCACCCTCAGGGATTTGTTGGTCCAAAAGATCTTCAGTCATGAAAACTTACCAGACCCACCCTAGAAAGAAAGCTGATCTTAACCTGAAAATCACTTTTAGAAACAAGAAACACATTAAATAACCAAGCTAAGGCAGGGACTGGGGGGGAGGGTGGGGGTGGCGGTCAGCAAATGCTTGTTGATATCTTCAGTGAATTTGGGAGATGCTGGAAAATCTTTGGCAACTTTAGGGAAAAAAGTACTTTTATGGCTTTTCTTGTGCTGATAATGCTTTCTACAAAAGAGATTCCAGGCATAGTATGTCTCTTATTGTTCTGGGCACAGTAGGTCTGTAAAAATTACTGATCCAGTTATTTAAAGAATTTCGTTGATTATTTGGTTGACTACTTTGATGTTTTTCAGAGGCAGCATCTTACGGAGTAACTAAATATTTTAGTTAATAGCAGACCTTATTTGGCATACTTTTAAATATTTATGACTAAACATTTAATAGAGTTTTTCATAGATACCAGAAAAAAAAATTTGGCTGATCCACTCAGTATGTGGCTCTTACAAGTCACAGTTCCTACTCTAAGCAAGGTAGTGTGTTGCTGACATGAGGACGGGTGTATAGATCAATGGAATAAAATGGGGAGTCCAGTTATAAACCCTCGCATGTATGGTTATTGATTTTTGACAAAAGGGCCTAGACAATTTGATGGGGGAAAGAATAGTTTTTTTTCCCCACAGACAGTGCTGGGGTAACTGGATAGCCACATGCAGAAGAGTGAATTTGGACCCTTACCTTACATTGAATGTAAAAATGAACTGAAAGTGATCACAGACCTAAATCTGTGACTTAAATCTGTAAATTTTGGTTACAAACCACTTAGGAGAAACACAGGAGTAAATCACAATCTTGGGTTAGGCAATGACTTATTAAATGTGACACCAAAAACGTTGTGGTAGGAGAAAATTGGTAAGTCCAATTTCATCAGAATAAAACATTTTTATAATTATCCAGTGTAAGACATTTTGTCGTAACAGTCTTGTACTAAGACAGAACTTATATCCAGAATATGCTGTGTAAAGACCTCTTGGAACGCAAGATTGAAGAGACAATACAAATAGACATGGACAACTAGAAATGGAAAAAGGATTTAAGCAGACATTTCTCCAGAGAAGGTATACAGATGGCCAGTTAACAGGTGAAAAGGTGCTCAACATCATTGGTCATTTGGGAAATGCAAATTAAAACTACAATGAGATGGCACTTCACACCCATTACGATGGTTAGAACTAAAAGGAAAAACAGGCGGGGCATGGTGGCTCACACCCATAATCCCAGCACTTTGGGAGGTGGGTGCATCACTTGAGGCCAGGAGTTTGAGACCAGCCTGGCCAACATGGTGAAACCCTGTTTCTACTAACAAATACAAAAATTAGCAGGGCTTGGTGGCAGGTGGTGCCTGTAATCCCAGCTACTAGGGAGGCTGAGGCAGGAGAATCACTTGGACCTGGGAGGCGGAGGAGGTTGCAGTGAGCCAAGATTGAGCCACTGTAATCCAGCCTGGGCAACAGAGTAAAACTCTGCCCCCCACCCCCCAAAACAAAAAAAAAAGAAAGAAAAATGATGACAGGTGTTGGGAAGGATGTAGAGAATCCTCAGGCATTGCTGGTGGTAGTGTAAAATGCTGCAGCCATTTTGGAAATTCATCATTTGTGGAAAGGCATTTCCTCCAAAGGTTAAACGTAAAGTTAACTTATGGCCAATCATTCCAATCCTGGGTATCTAACCAGGATTGGAATGATTGGCCATAAATGAAAACATCTGTCCACAAAACCTTCCATGTGAATTTCTTAACCAGAAAGTGGAAACAACTCAGGTGTCTGTCAGCTGATTCGTAGATGAAACTTTATTTGGCAATAAAAAGAAATGTAGTTCTGATCCATACTATAATATGGATAAATCTTGAAAACATATGCTAAAATCTAGTCGCAAAAAACCTGTGTATATTTTTTGATTTAATGTATAGAAATGTCCAGAAGAGGCAGATTTATAGGATGGAAAGATGAGTAGTTGTCTAAGACTGAGGAAAAGGGGAATGGAGTGAGTGCTAATGGGTATGAGATTTCTTTTGGAAGTGATAAAAAAAATACCCTAAAGTTAGATTATGGTAATGGCTGCACAACTGTAAACATACTAGAAGCCACTGAATTGTACATGTCATTATGTTATGTAAATTAGATTTCAGAAAGCCTGTTTGTTAAAAAGGCCAGTTAGGTAGCAAATGCACAAGGTGCTGAAGCTGTTTCTTTTAGAGCCAACTCAGCATTCTGTGTCTTGAGCATTATACTGTGAGCTAAGAGACCAAACATGATTTCTGCTTCCCCCACACCTAAAAAAAGGTTTGGGAGATGAAAAGATATAAAACAGAAACCCAGAATGCTCTTCTAAGAGTTAGCTACAGAGTAAATAAAAGTTTGAAGAGACTTCCTCAGGCAGGGGAGAACAGAAGTTTCATAGACAGGGTGGTAGTAGTAAGCTCACTGCTCCTCCACTTTTTATTTTTAAGAATTCCCCACCCAACTCACACAGGGCAGAGACTATCTTAAATAACAGAGCCTTAAGCAGTGGTTTGCCGTTTTCCTTGAAGAGGTCCTTCACATCCCTTGTTAGTTGATTTCCTAGGTATTTTAATCTATTTGTAGCAATTTTCAATGGGAGTTCATTCATGACTTGGCTCTCTGTTAAATTAGTTCAACTATTGTAGAAGACGGTGTGGCGATTCCTCAAGGATCTAGAAATAGAAATACCATTTGACCCAGCAATCCCATTACTGGGCATATACCCAAAGGATTATAAATTGTTCTGTTATAAAGACACATGCACACATAGGTTCATTGCGGCACTGTTCACAATAGCAAAGACTTGGAACCAATCTAAATGCCCATCAATGATAGACTGGATAAAGAAAATGTGCCACATACACACCACGGAATACTATGCATCCATAAAAAAGAACGAGTTTGTGTACTTTGCAGGGACATGGATGAAGCTGGAAACCATCATTCTCAGCAAACTGACACAAGAATAGAAAACCAAATACCGTATGTTCTCACTCATAAGTGGGTGTTGAACAATGAGAACACATGGACATGGGAGGGGAAGGAACATCACATACCGGGGTATGTTGGGGGGTGGGGACACTAGGGGAAGGATAGCATTAGGAGAAATACCTAATGTAGATGACTAGGGGGTGGATGCTGCAAACCACCATGGCACATATATACCTATGAAACAATCCTGCATGATCTGCACATTTACCCCAGAACTTTATAAATAAATTTTAAAAACCACACAGAGCCTACCAGCTCCAGGGTGAAATCAATGAAATCTTTAAACTGAGGCTGGGCGCAGTGGCTCACACCTGTAATCCCAGCACTTTGGGAGGCTGAGACAGGTGAATTACCTGAGACCAGCCTGGACAACATGGCAAAACCCTGACTCTACAAAAAATACAAAAATTAGCCAGGCGTGGTGGTGCACACCTATAGCCCCAGGTACTCAGGAGAATGAGGTAGAATTGCTTGAGCCTGGGAAGTTGAGGCTGCAGTGACCCATGATGGTGCCACTGCACTCCAGCCTGGGTGTTTGAGTGAGACCCTGTCACACACACACAAAAAAAGAGTTATATGAGTATGTTCTGTAAATAAATCCCTTGTTATATGTGCTACTAATGTTCTCTTAGCCTTTTGCTTTTCTTTTTGTTGTTTGTTGTGACATTGTCCTGTAAAAGTTTGTAATTTTTCATAGTAAAACTTGTTAACCTTACTAGCTTTAGATCAGAGGGACAGTCCATGGCCTCTTAGGAACTGGGCCCCACAGCAGGAGGTGAGCTGCGGGCTAGAGAACATTATTGCCTGAGTTAAGTCAGCGGCAGCATTAGATTCTCAGGAGCACAAAGCCTGTTGAGAACCACGCATGTGAAGGATCTAGGTTGCGTGCTGCTTATGAGAATCTCATGCCTGATTATCTGAGGTAGAACAGTTTCATCCTGAAACCTGCTTCTGACTACCCGCCAGCTGTGGGAAGATTGTCTTCCATGAGACTGGCCTCAATGTGAAAAAGGTTGGGGATGCTATTTTAGATGACTTTTCTTACCCTAGTTATAAAACACATTTTCCTATAAATTCTTCTTCTTACTATTCCTTTTTACATTTAGGTGTTTATGACTGTAGTCCAGGGATTCTCAACCTCAGCACAGGGGCATCTTGGTGGGTAACTCTCTGTGAGGGGCGCCATCCTGTGCATTGTCTGGTGCTTAGCTGCATCCCTGGCCTCTACCCACGAGATGCCAATAGCACCTGCACACCAGATGTGACAGCTAAAAATGTCTCCAGACACTGCCAGATGTCCACCAGGGAGCAGGATCAGCCACTGCGCGTGGGTTAGATCTTTTTTTTTTGTTTGTTTGTTTTGAGGCAGAATCTCACTCTGTTGCCCAGGCTGGAGTGCAGTGAGTCTCCCTCTGTCGCCCAGCCTGAAGTACAGTGAGTCTCCCTCTGTCGCCCAGGCTAGAGTGCAGCGAGTCTCGCCCTGTTGCCCAGGCTGGAGTGCAGCGAGTCTCCCTCTGTCGCCCAGGCTGGAGTGGAGCGAGTCTCACCCTGTCGCCCAGGCTGGAGTGCAGCGAGTCTCCCTCTGTCGCCCAGGCTGGAGTGCAGCGAGTCTCGCCCTGTCGCCCAGGCTGGAGTGCAGCGAGTCTCGCCCTGTCGCCCAGGCTGGAGTGCAGCGAGTCTCCCTCTGTCGCCCAGGCTGGAGTGCAGCAAGTCTCCCTCTGTCGCCCAGGCTGGAGTGCAGCGAGTCTCGCCCTGTCGCCCAGGCTGGAGTGCAGTGAGTCTCCCTCTGTCGCCCAGCCTGGAGTGCAGTGAGTCTCCCTCTGTCGCCCAGGCTGGAGTGCAGTGAGTCTCTCTCTGTCGTCCAGCCTGGAGTGCAGTGAGTCTCTCTCTGTCGTCCAGCCTGGAGTGCAGTGAGTCTCGCCCTGTCGCCCAGTCTGGAGTGCAGTGAATCTCGCTCTATCACCCAGGCTGGAGTGCAGTGGCATGATCTTGGCTCATCACAACCTCTGCCTCCCAGGTTCAAGTGATTCTTTCACTTCAGCCTTCCGAGTAGCTGGGATTACAGGCATGTGCCAGCATAGCCAGCTAACTTTTTGGTATTTTTAGTAAAGACGGTTTTACCATGTTGGTCAGGCTAGTCTCGAACTCCTGACCTCAAATGATCCGCCCACCTTGGCCTCCCAGAGTGCTGGGATTACAGACACTAATTATGAACTGAAGTCTCATCTTCATCACTTTGTCTATGCTTTCTTCCCTGTTGTGGCCCAGCAGCTACCCAGTCTTTGGCACAGCAGAGGTACCCAGGGCTGGGGACAGGAAAAAGAGAGAAAAATGAGAACCAGGAGTGGAGACTCCCAGTCCTACATTTTTAATTGAGTGGCTTGCTCACTGACAGTTCTGAGTGTGGGCACACCTTTGGGTGTGTGTGGTATGTCTGAGGTGGTCTAGACCCTGCTTACAGTCTTGTTCTGCCAGGGTGCTGGGGGTCCCCAAGACTGCCGTCATGCTTGGGGATTTTCTAGAAAGACTCGACACTTAGCTTATAGTTGTACTCAGCTCTAAGATTCACAGCAGCAGTGCAGTATGGATACGGAGCTGGGTGGTAAGGGAAAAGGCGCAGGTAGTAGAGTCTGGAAGAATCCACGTGGGGCTTCCTTACGCACACTCCCTCCCTCAAGGGGTTGCATGTAGTGAACACTCCCCCCTGACCCCGCAACAAAACTGCAACACTTGTGAGATGTTTTTGCCTAGGGAAGCAAGTTAGAGACTCGGTACCCAGCGTTTTGGCTGAAGGCTGGCATTATACCCTTGACCTAGCATGTTCCAGAATTCCACACTCCCCTAAGGAAGGTAGGTGTTAGCATAGACCACATTGTTCATACAGATGGTCTGGGCACGGTGAGCCAAGCTACTCTTATCATCAGTTAAAAAATGTCAGGAACCAGGGCAGATCTAGACCAGGGGTTGGCAAAAAATGTCAGGAACCCTCTCAAAATCCAAGCTCCCAGACACCAGCCAGGCACCTGCCTTGCAAGTGATAGCACTCTTAAGCTGCTATGCTGACACTTCTCTGTGCCTGGGAACTTCCCAAACCAAGACTTTGAACTGAAAACCGGCAAGGGGAATTTACTTGGAGCCTGGGGCCCACTGCTTAAGGCTGAGAGTGGGGGACCAAAGCGTGGGCTCCTCACTGAGTGGTAATGGAATCTGCCCTCTCGTTTTCCCTCTCCAGTGTGGGGCTGCCTTTCAGGAGGATGATGTCATCGTGCTCAATGGCACCAAGGAGGATGTGGACATGCTGAAGACCAGGATGGAGGAGAGAAGGCTGAGAGCGAAGCTGGAAAAGGTAATGGGAGTGTTCAGGTTCCGCCCAGCCCCCACCTCTACTCCAGAGCCAACTGAAACCACTGAACTGAACTGGCAGCTGCTTAGGGGTTTGCACAATCAAGGTGATTTTTATTACCAAGAAGGGCCTGGACTGTGGAAGCACATTCCAGTTGTGGTTCGGGCACTGCCTGGCTGTGGTGGGGGCACAGCAGCTCTGCTCTTCCATGCCCAGCTTTGTCATCGTGAAGTGGGGCAGTGACAACATGCAAGGGCACGGAGCTGTCAGCAGGCTCCAGAGACCATGCCCAGGGAAAGCTCTGTCACTGACGTGGCCCCAGCGAGCCTTGGGGAAAGGGAGCCACCACCATTGCTGTTGCTGTCACTTACTGTTGCTGTTGATTCTGAGACAGTACATACTTGGTTCTCATAGCTTGTAAAACAAAGGAAAAATGAAAAGTCACCATCATTGCTGCGGCTGTCAGGATTTCCTGCTGCCCAGGAGTCTGGGTTCCAGCAGGCCTGGCTGGACCCTGGGCACCTGTGCTTCTCACCCACTCCTAGGGCATGTGAATGCAACTCAAGGGTGCACTTTGAATAGCAAGGAGCCAATAAGTAGCTCTCCCAAAAATGGGGGCCAAATCCCTCACCTTCCTAAGCTGTCCCATGGGAAGAGGGAGGGGCTTTTATGGAACATGGTGCTTCAGTGTCCAGAAGGGAGCCTGGCAACCAGAAGCAGGGAAAGCATTGCTCAAAGTTGGGTTCAGGATAAACTAGGAAGAAAACTTTTTGTGATCAGAACTAAGGCCAAAAAATGCTTGAAGTACTAGAAAATTAGTTCCAGTAGGCTGAGGACATAAAATTATGAAAAAAATCGCCTGCCCTCACCTGAGCCTGCATTTTACCAGTGTCAGTCCATAAATGATTGAATCATTTATGATTTTTCAGAGGTTTGAGGTTTTTATAAAACCCTAACAGAAGATGAGACAGGACCGTATCACCCTGGAATAATGTGTGATGCATGGTTGTGAGGCTTGAGCACGTGGTAGCAGTATCATCTTTACACATGAACCCAGAATGCTCAGAAAGAGCCAAAGCATTTGCATATTCTCCTTTCATCATTTTACCTAGGTAGAAAATAATGTCTGAAAATGGCTCTGTAGTAATTGTGCCAAACTTGGAATTTAGATGCCAGTAGAAATATTCCGTGGAGCAATTTTGTAAGATGTTAATACAGCATTCATAAGAACTATTTAAAGAGCCACTTGGTAGGTGGGCGTGATAGCACATGCCTGTAATCCCAGCTCCTAGGGAGACTGAGGCAGGGGAATCAGTTGAACCTGGGAGGCAGAGGTTGCAATGAGCTAAGATCGCACCTCTGCACTCCAGCCTGACAGAGCAAGACTCTCTCTCAAAAAAAAAAAAAGCCACTTGGCCATTTAAGTGCTGTGTGAAAGTTGAAAAGTGAATACATGTATATCTTATATAAAGTGTGTTAATTATAAGTCGGTTTTCTAAATTACTATGATTTCATTTTAAGAGAGAGAGGAAAAAAAGAGGGAAGCTTAAGTTTGAGGTCCTTTTATTTTTTGAGACGGAGTCTTGCTCTTGTCGCCCAGGCTAGAATGCAATGGCACTATCTCTGCTCACTGCAACTCCTGCGTCAGTGTCCCTAGTGTCCATCAAGCCTGGCTAATTTTTTTTGTACCTTTAGTAGAGACGGGGTTTTGCCATGTTGGCCAGGCTGGTCTCGAACTCCTGACCTTGTGACTTGCCCGCCTTGGCCTCCCAAAGTGCTGGGACCATAGGCCTGACCCGCCGCGCCCAACCAGTTTGAGGTCTTTTTAGCTAAGGGCAGTTGCCAAAAGGGCAATTGCCTGTTCTTCACTGCTATCATTGATCAAGCTGTTATTAAAAAGCACAAAAGGGTGGCCAGGTGCTGTCATCTCAGCACTTTGGGAGGCCGAGGCAGACAGATCACTGGAGGTCAGGAGTTCAAGACCAACCTGGCCAACATGGTGAAACCCCATCTCTACTAAAAATTTAAAAATTAGCCAGACATCGTGGCATGTGCCAATAATCCCATCTACTCAGGAGGCTGAGGCAGGAGAATTTCTTGAACCTGGGAGGCAGAGGTTGCAATGAGCCAAGATCACGCCATTGTACTCCAGCCTGAGCAACAGAGTGAAACTCTGAAACACACACACACACACACACGAAAATATGCATTTCAAAGGAAGCTACTAGAAATAGAAATGTTCATTATTACCTTTGACCATTTCGCTTTTGTGAGTTTTCTTGGTCACGGGTTTCCTGCCAACTTATTCAAAGCCCAGAGGGACTCCATGCCTCTCTCTATAAAATATTCTCCAGAGCTTCTGGGAATGCCTCATAGCTACTGCTACCAGGATACCAAAATATTTCCCCAATACAATTGGTACTGGAAGCCGGACATAACATTTCCTAACACCTGACTGCCTGTTCTTTTCAAATAACCTCAGCTGTGAATGGAGAGCTTGGAAATAAACAGTTGTCTTTTATACTCAGTTTGAAGGACTGAGTATCAGTATTCACAAATGTGCATGCTTGCACTGGATGTGTGAAATGAGCAAAAGGTGTTTGTTTTGTTATAAATCACATTGCATGTATGTGTTACAAATTCAAGGCCTGAGAGGTCTTTTTTTCAGTGCTCAGTGCTGGGGGATGGCCATAGTAATCAGGCTGCGCATCTTTAGTGCCACCTTTTGGATGGTTAGGAAATTGACATTTTAAAGTAAATCGAATGAACATAGTCCTACTTCTTATTTCTACAATTAAATCAATTCCAGCGCTTCTGTGTAACTGTAGAATGGTTTATTTCTTTTATTATTGCTGTTCAAAATATTATGAGTAACCATTCTAGTGCCTGAAAATCTTAACAACAGTAGTCCTGAGTTTAGAATAATTAGCTAAACCGTCTTTAATATAAATTTCAAGGCCTTATATTTGAATAACAAACACCAAAGCAGTTTGACAACTTTGAAAGTTAGTGGAATGGGCAAGATTTAGTTTGTGCTTATGCTGGCTGGACTTCACATACCCATATAAACTTTGTGTTATTATTCATTTAAGTGCTCCTTTGTATACAGTAGTCACCATTAACATTGGCCCTTATTACTGAAATCGGTCAGCTTCATTTAAGAGTTTTGCAAATGTGGTTTGGGAAATATAAATATGAAAGTGAGCAGCTCTGTGCAGATACATTCTTGTGTGATGCAGAAGTGCATGACGGGAGTCACATGCAGAGGATTTGGACTTAGGAGTTACGGAACATCACAGGCCTTCTTCAGAGTGACTGCCTGTCTCATGTGACTGGCATCTCAACGTCAGTGTGGCTGCCCTGTTTGACAATGGGCAGCCACACTGATGCTGAAGTGGAGTGAATCTGAGCACATCCTCCAACATCCTCTTTCTTTTTACAGAAAACAAAGAAACCCAAGGCAGCAGAGTCTGTTTCAAAACCAGATGTCAGTGAAGGTAAGATGCTATGAGAGATCCTTATTTTAGCAAAATATGACTCTAGGCCGGTCTGCTAGTAAGCTCGTGCTTCGTTTGGCATTGTTTTTACTTTGTCTACTTTGTTTCTTTTACAGAAGTCCCAGGGCCATCAAAAGTTAAGACAGGGAAGCCTGAAGAAGCCAGCCTTGATTCTAGAGAGAAGAAAACCAACTTGGCTCCCAGAAGCACAGGTGGGTTTTGTTGTAGCTCCAGGGAGATGTTGAGAAGGCCGGAAACCCAGGTGGCTGAGCCCAGGTTTCACTGGAGTGGGCGGACGGGGAGCCCAGGTCTCGCTGGAGTGGGCGGACGGGGAGCCCAGGTCTCGCTGGAGTGGGCGGACGGGGAGCCCAGGTCTCGCTGGAGTGGGCGGACGGGGAGCCCAGGTCTCGCTGGAGTGGGCGGACGGGGAGCCCAGGCCTGTCCTAAGTCATGTCTCTAGAGAGTGCACTGAACTCTCTAGTCGGGATAACTGAGAAATATTTAAACCCTCATCAGGAGCCCTGGCAGGATTGACGGGGTCTGGGCACAAATACTAATTGTTTAGATTCCTGTCGCGGACGCACTTGGTGCCAAGCAAAAAAGGCTGCGCTGAGAACTGACTCAGATATCGCACAGAGACTGTCAGAAGGACTGTGACTCAGGGACTGGGTGGGAATGCTCCCAGTTTCTTTACTGTTGGGGTTCTTAAGGGCTCCACATGTGCCTCTCAGAGTCCCTCTCTGCTGCCTCTTGACCACAGATCAGTTTCTCCTAGAACTCACTCTCTTTAACTCAAAGAAAATACTATTTATTTCACAAAACAAAAAACACAGACTCATTGTTAAGAGACTGTGATCTTGTGCTCTAAATAGCATCCCTGGTGGCTGATGGGCTCCCATTCCAGCTCTACACTGGATGGTCACTCAGGTTTCTGTGTCTCTCTGGTTCCTCCCCTGTAATGCAGGCCCCGCCTCATCAGGACAATATAAGTCATTCACGGGACTGGGACCATTGTCTGCGACAGAGCAGGGAGTAGTTGGTGGGACAGTAAATAATAGATGTGTCGTGCTGGGTCTGCTTTGCTGGAGTTGGCAATTAAGATTATGTCCATCAGCACTTGCACAGCCAGCGGGAGAAAGTCTGGGATAGAGTGGCTGACACGCTTCCCTCTGAGGTTGTGAAGTTTAGGATAATCATCCCAGCCTTGACAGCTGTGGCTCTTCATATTTCCAGCAACAAATGAGAGCTCTTCTGGAAAAGCTGGAAAGCCTATGTGTGGAGCCACGAAGAGATCCATCGCTGACAGTGAAGAATCTGAGGCCTACAAGTCCCTCTTCACCACTCATAGCTCTGCCAAGCGTTCCAAGGAGGAGTCTGCCCACTGGGTCACCCACACGTCTTACTGTTTCTAAAACCCACCTTGCCACCGCTTCTGCCCCAGAAGGCCACCTAGTGACCTAGGCGGGTCGCTGTGCGCCTGCGCACGCTGCTGTGTGTTCTTTCTGTACGTTATAAAGCTGACCTGGCCAGCCTTGGAACTGGTGTGGCCACTCTTGCTGTGAGGTGTTTGCGTTCCAGGGGGGACATAGGACGGGCTGCACAGTGGCCTGAGGTCTTGTTTGCTTCCACCTGCAGGTACACTTTGTCCTTTCCATGGCCAGGAAGCCCTGCGGGCTGCACTTTTTATGCTTCCAGTAACGAGAGATTCTAGAGTCCTCACGAGAGCAGAGTTGGCACATATTAACTAAAATTATAATGATTTTGCTACCAGCAATAAATTAAGTAGGCCAAGTGAAACTGGGCTTTAGAAAGGGTGGATTTCAAATACACTGTACCCACTAGAAGCTTTGAAGGGCCTCGTCCCTCTGCTCCATCCCTGGAAGGAGCCGGGATCCTTGTTGGTCTAGCTAAATACTA